TATAGGCGATTCATTAGAGATTTTTCTCTAAACCACTTTGTAATTTGTTAGAAAAAGATACTCCTTTTAATTTTAATGATGCTTGCCATAATGCTTTTGTTGAATTGAAAAAGAAATTAATTTCTGTTTCTATTATCGCTGCTGCTGATTGAAATCTTCCTTTTAAACTAATGTGTGATGCTAGTAATTATGCAATTGGTGTAGTTTAGGACCAACGAAAAGTGAAGATGTTGCATCCTCTTTATTATGCTAGCATATTATTGAATAAGGCTCAAGCAAATTACACCACAACTAAATAAGATTTGCTTGCTATTGATTTTGCTTTTGATAAATTTTGCTCTTATCTTGTTGGTACTAAAGTCATTGTTTACACTAACGATGCAACTATTAAATATCTAACCGAGAAAAAAGATACAAAACCACCCTTAATAAGATGAGTACTTTTGCTTAAAGAATTCAACTTGGAAATTTGAGATAGGATATGTACAGAAAATCAAGTGACAAACCATTTATCTAAATTAGAAAATGGAGAATAAGTTCGGAATTCAATAGTGATCAATGGGACCTTTCTTAATGAGCAAGTGTTTCATATAGAGAAGTAGAAAATTTGCCATGGTATGTTGATTTCATGAACTATCTTGTGAGTGAACTATCTTGTGAGTGAACTTTTCCCTCTTAGACTTAATTCTTAACAAAAGAAGAAATTCTTGCGTGATGTTAAATGCTACATGTAGGATGAGCATTTTCTTTACAAGCATTGCGAAGATCAAATCATTAGAAAGTGTATCCTTGAAGAAGAATTTGAAAATATTTTTCATCATTGCCATTCATCTTATCACAGAAGACATTATGGGGAAAACGAACTACTGCAAAAGTTCTACAATCAAGTTTTTATTGGTCTTCCCTTTCTAAAGATACTCAAAATTTTATTGAAAGATGTGATAGATGCCAAAAAGTGGGCAGTATATCTAAGAGCCATGAGATTCCTCTCAACAACATTCTTCAAGTTGAAATTTTTTGTGTGGGAAATTGATTTTATAAGTCCATGCATTCCATCTTTCAATAGCGAATATATCTTGGTTGAGGTTAATTATGTTTCTAAATGGGTTGAAGCTATTGCCTTGCCAAGGAACGGCTCTAAGGTAGTGAAAAATTCTTGCAAAAGAACATCTTCACATGTTTTGGAACACCTAGAACCATAATTAGTGATGAAGGGTCTCACTTCTACAACAAATATTTGGAGGCACTCCTAGCCAAATATGGGATCAAGCACAAATAGCCATTGCAATCATCCTTACATGAGCAGCCAAGTTGAAGTTTCGAACAAAGAAATTAAAAGAATTTTGAAGAAAATTGTTTGTCCTTTTAGTCAGATTCGACCTAATTAGGTCAATTCAACCTATTCGAGTCTCTTATGCCAATTTCTACCTAATTCTCGACTATTAAAGTGTTTTTGATGAAATTGACCCTTTCAAACCTCCATTAAGACTTTATTTTATAATACCCATGCATTAAAATTCATCAAGACATCACAAATTGAGATTAATTTGAGAAAATTTTCGAGTTTGATACCCATTTATGACACATTTTGATTTTTCTCATTATTTGATCCTATATACCCAATTTTTATGCAATCAAAATTTATGATTAATCTCTATAACATGTAACTAGTGATTTGTAGAGATAAAATCGAACATAAACACATAAACTTTAAAGGTTTTAATAAAATCAAGAATTGAGTTTCAATTTTGAACCCAAACTTTTAAACTTTAATTTCTCTCACTACAAGCCAAATCAAGTTACAATTTTTATACCGATTTAATCCTTGTAATAAGAGAAACAAAAGGCTTAAATTTATTGATAAAATCAATAACAAAAAAATTAAATTTCTGAATCCATAAAGATTTCAGCTTAACATGGTAAATTTATGTCAAATCCAAACACCCATGGCAGCATCCAATATGATTAAATCGATAGGTTTAATCAAACTTTATGGCCTCAATAACATTTTTATTTTTAATTCAAAGAGAATATTTTTGCATAATTGGGATTATCTAGAAGGATAGCTTCCAAATCAAAGAAGTACATCAAAAAAATAGAGCCCTGTACACCATAAGACCAAAAAACAAAACCTAACAAGAAAACAAAGGAAAAGGAAAAACTAAACACTTCTTGAATCAACAAAACAATCAGGAAAAAAATAGAAGCAATAAAGCATAATCAAAAGCAACAAGAAGCAAAGTCCAGAAAAAGCAATAGAACTCAAAAAGAATCAAACTCACATAAAAAAAAGCATCAGTTGTAAGTGATCAATAAATCCACTGCTCGTTGCACACCACTCTTTGCAAGACAATCAGCTAAATGATTGGTAGATCTTGGAGTATGAATAAAAGACCATTTAGCCACTCTTTTCTTAAAACTAGAGATCACGTTCATAATTCTAATCATTCTCTAAGTAATCAAATACGGACATTTCACTCAAGAAACAACATTGGCAAAATCCGATTCCATTATAAGTTCATGAGTAGCAGCCCATCAAGATGCAGCTAACAAAGCAAAAGCTTCTTTAGTCGTAAGAATCTCAACCCTATTCAAGTCACCCACTCCGATGGATTTTGAAAACCGAATTTTAACATGGCCACCCTCATCACGAAGAGCACCTCCAATACTAGATTCACCTAGACATTCCCTCGTTGCTCTATCAACATTAAATTTAAAACATCCATTGGAAAGAGGTTTCCAAGCCACCTCTTTTCCACTAAAACCACAATTATTAAAAGTAGAGGCATTAGATGGAGCTCTCATCACATCCAAAATTGAGAAATTTTCCTTCAGCCATTTCGCCATAGCCCATCACCTAACTCTCAGCTTAGACATATCAAAAACTTACTAACAACCCAAACCTGACCATTAAAGACAATCTCATTTCTATACAGTCAAATAGACCAAACACAATTTTAACTCATCTCAAGGTAATTTAACAAAACTACATAGAATCAAATTGTTTTTGGCCTAAAATTGTTAAAACTCGTGACTTTTGAAAAACCCAATTTATCAAATAAAATTTCATTCAATTATGAAGATATAATTCAACCAAACAATCATGTAATATATAATTTATTAGCAATTAAGTATGCCCAAGATCTAATTGCATCATACAAAGATAATTATGTATTTTAATAATGTAATTACATAAATTAAAAAAACCACACAAGACTTTGACAAGTAGTCTTAATTTATGCAATCAATATATAATTAGTTAGGATTCTAAATCCTAACCTTGGTGACTCTTGATACCAATTAATAGACTTTATATACAAATAAATTTATATTAACCCAAGATCTACTATAGTAGAAATTTAAACAGCTTGGAAAACTTACGCTTTGATAACCAAATAAACCAGGAGTATCCTGCTGTACATTTTTTTAACAAATTTTCTCTAGTATCAACCTTCTTACATTTTTATTTAACTTGCTCTCTCATTTTACATTTATGATTGCAAGAACAAGGGTCAGGAGCTCCCAGGAATTACTTTTTGATAGTCAAGGGCTCTAATCTTTTCTTCTTGATAGTTAGTAAGAAAACAAAGGGGCGAGAATTAGTAGTGATGGTGACCTGAAATTCTTCCAGGGAAGTGGGGCATACCTTAGGTTTGGGAAATTTCCTACTTTGACGCCGCCTTCTCGGACGCAAGAACCCAGCAGCCAGGCCGCAACATCCTAAGGCAACCCACTTTGAACGCTTCAAGGAGAGACTATAAATTCAAGCACATGGGAAGAAAGATAAAGGGTCGCCATCTGAAGCAACAATTGAAATGGGTAGCTATCCGCACTTATTTAATCGAGAATCAAACCAAGGAATATTACTTATTTATTTGGAAAGAGAGTAAAAACAAAAGAAGGGCTTTAGATAACGGGATAGTCAAATGTTCCTAATTGAAGTTGAAGATATTGAGAAAACAAATAACAAAAAATAATAATATATTTAGTCCGAAGGGGGCTCGGATTGGATTAACTACAATAAACAAGCGATTATTTTTAAAATTATATCATATTCATGTCATTTGTAAATAATCCCTAGGTTAAATTCTCAGAACAAATAAGAATGTAACATTGCTGGTAACAAAATATCTATAATATCCAGATTTCACACAATTTTTTTTGTTAATCTCTATAAGGTTTTTTTTTTTAATTATGTTTTTAGTCAAGCTTAGCCAATGACCAATTAGCCATTTGACTTATCAGGTTAATCTCTATAAGTTGCTTTGTAAATTTAAGATCAAGTTAGTCCCAATCCACTCTGTAATTCAACTACAAAATTAATATATGAATCTAGATAAGATTATACCCTTTATTGATAATAAATTAATTAAGAGTTCGTCATAGTTTCTTAATTATATTTTATGAAGGCGAAAATAGATAGAGCTAAGGTGCCTGTGCTTGGAACTCAATTCAATTTGAATTATTTTCAATTTTAATAGGTTAAGTCAAGCTTGATTTTCATGTTTATTTGATTTGATAAACAATCGACTTAGCCAAATTTGAATTCGATGCTGCTCAACTCATTTTAACTCCCACATATTTGCGGTTGTTGGGGTATTTTTATTTATTTAATTTCAGCTATTATTGTATGATATATTTGAAATTATTTTCATTGCTAAAACAAGAAGGAATTTACAGAAAACAGACTACTCTGTTTAAGTAAAATGTTTATGTGGGAAGATTATAAAATTAAATACACGTAAATGTAAATATACCTATGCATTATAATGTTGATCCTTCAGATGTTTGGTCAATGTTTTACTGCCCGCTTGCTAAGGAGTCGCGGCATATTTGGGACACGGAACCAGAAGTCATGGAAATGTCTGTTACATTGTAGACTTCAAAGTACTGAAATGAAGTAGTTCAAATTGTGGACGCAAGTGTGTAACTATATGTCGATATATTCTTGTAATGAACGCATTCAAAGAGATGACGACTGACGACGCCATGGTTGATTTTTCAGAGCAAGGTTACAGTCTGTGAAGCTATAAAGACCTGATAACAATGAAGTGAAACACACATTCCAAGTATTGCAATCAAAAACAGGCAGAGTGACATATTGGGCAGGATCTCTTTTGTTGATAACTACAATGAGCGCCGAGTCTTCAGTAACCAAGAGGTAAATCCCACAGTTCCCAAATTCATGGCAGTGCAGAACATTGAAACAAATGTTGTTTCTGTCAATCCGAAATTGAGTTAGCAAGAAGTTTGCACGCTAATTAGCTGTTTATTATAGTTATGTTAAGTATGAACTTTACATTCTTCTATGCAGGCTAGAAGGTAAGGTGGCACTGATAACTGGTGGTGCCAGTGGCCTAGGAGAGAGTACGGCAAGGCTGTTCGTCCAACATGGAGCCAAGGTTCTGATTGCTGACATTCAAGATGACTTGGGCCACTCCCTTTGCCAAGAGCTTGGAAAAGAAACCATCAGCTATGTCCACTGTGATGTAACATGCGAACCTGATGTCCAAAAAGCTGTAGAATTGGCAGTTTCCAAGTATGGAAAGCTTGATATCATGTTGAATAACGCTGGAATTATGGGTCACCATGAAGTAAGAGTTACAGATACAGATACTGAGAGCTTCAAGACAGTGTTTGATATCAATGTGCTTGGTGGATTCCTGGGTGCCAAGCATGCCGCTAGGGTCATGGTTCCTGCCAAGAAAGGGTGCATTCTCTTTACCGCAAGTCTTGCATCAAAAATAAGCCTGGGTACCCCGCATGCATACAAGGCATCAAAGCATGCAGTGGTAGGGTTGACTAAAAGCTTGAGCGTGGAGTTAGGTGAGTATGGAATTAGAGTTAATTGCATTTCACCTCATGCAGTTGCCACTCCGTTGTTCCAAAAAACACTCGGGGTATTCGATAAGAAGAAGGGAGAGGAGGTCGTTTCTGCTTCAGCAGTACTGAAAGGGGCCATACTGGAACCAGAAGATTTTGCAAACGCAGCCCTGTATTTGGCAAGCGATGAGGCTAAATATATCAGTGGTGTCAACCTGACAATCGATGGAGGGTATAGCCTCAGCAATCAAACATGGAAGATGGGGCTATCCGTACTTTCTGAATAGACCTTTGTGTTAAACTTTTCTAAAACTACATATGTAATTGAGGGCTTATTTGTATGGCCGGTGTCTGAGTCTACTTTCACTTTCGAAGTGTGCTTTCCTCAATAAAATTTGTGTCTTTTTGAAAGGTAAAACAATTTTGTTCCAAAAATAGAGAAATACAAAAGAAAAGCAGACCATAAATAAGTTAGAAGCTCTGCCGCAAAAACAGCTAAGTCATTGAATCAAGCAAGCCATGGAACTAAATCCTGAAAATCTAGAAAATTCCTCGCCTCTTGGTCATGGCGAGATTAGGACGGTAAAAGGCGTCTTATCCCTTATCAAGCCAAAATCTCCCAACTAGCACATTATTGATAATTGATAGGCAACTTTTTCTTCATGTCTGCGCAAGCTATTTGGCCTTTTCTCTTTTCTTAAAGCGCAAATACTCACTCTTTTTCAACACTTTTGACCATTTTACCGGAGAATATCTCATATTTTGGACTATTTTCCTTATATTTTTTGATCGAAATTGGACCATGGAGTGATTAATAGGTATTAGGTGTAAGAGACCTCTTAAACATTATGCTTTCTGTGCATATAGTTACCGTAGATGCCACCATTTTTCTTCCTACTTGGATGTGACACATCACATACAATGCTAAAAAATCTAAAGCAGCAGTAAACTATACAAATAACAACCGTACGTATATACATTTATAAACAGTTATATCACATCAGAAAATATATCTTTCTTTCCAATTTTGACATGTAAATCAAGTTGTGAAAAACAAAGAGAGAAAAAGGAAATTTGGGAATTTAGTACTGTACATCTTATTTCTTAATCTGCAACTGTTACAAGATTTGGGTATATAAGCAAAAGATAAGGGAAACCTGCTTAAAAGATTACCACTGTACTAGCTAACTGAATAACCTTAATAATTAAGCTATTTACACACAAAAAAAATCAAACAATAAGACGCCAAGCATGTTGATATGACAGCAGAATAATAGTAAAACGCAGAAATTCATATTGCAAAGAAAGAGTAAATGATACTCTGATGGCTGTCAATAATTGACAATAAAAAAGGGTAGTTGGTTCTCAATCTTCTTCTATGCATTTTATTTTGAAACCAGATTTCCATGAGCCAATAGCATTACACCCTTTCAAAGGCGGTGATCACCATCAGTGGCAACATATACTGCATCCAGTAATACACACCTTTTGCAAAGTAGAATCAAAAAATTCTACAGTACAGGCCACAGTGCCTTCATCATTTAGTTATAAGAATTTTTTAGATTGTCAAGACCATCTAAAAAATGCATGCAATGTTGGAAAGCCTCCCAGACTACTCGCTGGCATTTGCAATCCCAACCATGTTGAGCATATGCCTGTCCTCCTTAAACCTTTCTAACACTGTACCCTTTACAACATCTTGCTTTTCGTGTTCCATTCCTTTTCTAACAACTCCCCAGCATTCTATCACCTCTGGGCATATTTGGCTGGTCTTTGAAAGGCAAGGGCTATTGAAAGTGGTACAGGAAAAGGTATGCCCCTGATCAAAGCTTGCTGAGAGGAACAGGCCAAAGTGATTAATGCGTCCTCCAAAACCAAAACCATTTGGGATTGCCTCTGAACTGAAGTTCACAGCACACTGCCAATGCAAGATTATTAGCAACAAGGAACTGGCACACTCCCATATGCATCAGACGGAAAGTATGCAGTTTTGGTTCTTTCCTACCACAGAAATCAGAAAACCAGATAAAAAGGGAAAACATGAATCCACTTTTTCAAATCAGAAGAAAAGGAGTTGGATAAGCCAACCCAGGGCCAGGTTTAAGAGTCCTTGCATCTCAGTGGTCAAACCCACATTAAGTCCATGATATTAGAATAATAAATATTGAATAACCCTGAATAACTTTTATAAATAATTCCAATTCATTTCCAAGTTGAGTATGAAAGCTGCCGCAATAAATCCTAAATCAGTGCTACCCTAAGTATAGACAACTTAAAATTGGCAGTGTACATGTGTAATTGCATAATTTCCATCCTGGAAAGGTCTAATTCTACAGATATTTTACTCAATCACTACAGAGCTCTATAAATGACAGCATGCCAACTTACAAGAGGAAATTCTCTTAGCAATATCAGAACTATAAAGCAAATACTGCAATTGAATATTCTAGGAAACAAAGAATTCAAACATAACTTGGCTTCATCTGGAAATGAAAGTAAGTGGAAATGGTACCCTGGGGAAAAATGAAACAAAAGCAAAGTGGAAACATACCCATTGCAAATTACTATTTGCACCTGTTGGCCTGAAAATTGATGCCTTCGGGTAGAGCTGAAAGATAAAAGACTTCATGTCCCCATAGAAATTGCTATGCCTCTCCCAAGGCTGAGAAGCATAACCTCCAAATATGTAACCTTCTCTATCCTTAATAATCAAGACAGTTGGCCCATCATTGTTTCTGCAGTTCAATTGAACAATTACCCATTCACTCCTACTTAAAAAAAAAAAAAGGGTCCCAGCAACTGAGAAACGGAAATAAAATTAGAAAGTACTTAGAACTTATACTTTCTTCAAAAAAAAGAAAATGAGACAAAGAAAGGCTGAAAACAATAGTGAGAAAGTTCATTTGATACAGAGAAAATTGTCTTATCTCTATTTTATTTAATGAACCACTCACATACAAGCCAATAAACCTAGAAGGCAGAAAAATAAGAATCCAATCGGCATATTTTAGGCTCCATTTGATTAATGCTTTGTTTTTTCCTTCTTACCTTATTGCAAAAAATGAATAAAAGGAAGAAAAAAAAAACGAATAGACAAATAGCAATAAGCAAAGTCATCAACTAAACAGAGAAGCAACCTAGTTCATAGAACTGTCAATATGGGCTGGCCCGGCCTAGCCCGGCCCCAACCCTTATGGGTTGAGAAAATATGGGTTGGGCCGAGCCAACTCATTTTTTATATGGGCCATTAAAATCTCAACCCAGCCACCCCTTATTAACCCATGGGTTGGGTTGGGCCAACCCATTTTTATTTTTTTCAAAAAAAATAATTTTTATAATTTTATTTGATAAATTATTTATTAACAAAATTGTTCTCTAATTTAATTCATAAATTGAATAATAAAAACATATTACAAATAAACAAATTACATCAAATATAAAAAAATAAATAAATTACATAATAAAGTTTAAATCTTTAATACAAACTACTATCTCATAAACATAAGTATATAACCAAATAATAAAAATTTCAAGACTCATTTATATCCTCCTCAATCCTCATTCTCAAGTAAAACATTTAAATCTTGTTTAAACAGCAATGATGTCTCAAGGTCTGAATCATTATCAATTTATCATCTAATATTCATTACCATAAAAGAAAAATAGATAATAAGTTTTAATCTAAACTAAAACTTTTAATTTAACAAGTGAAGATTAAAGACATTGAAATATATAAAATAAACGATACTATTGGTAACTAAATTATTAATTTTACATAATTAAATATATAAAATTATTAAATTAATTAAAATTATTTTTTTCTGACCCATAGGGCTGGCCCTGCCCCAGCCCACATCAACCTACTGATTTGGTGGGCTGGCCCCATTTAGGCCCGATTCTAATATGGGCCAAAATTTTCTAACCCAACCCATCCCATAGTTAATAAAAAATGGGCCGGCTTTATGGGCCAGGCCCATTTTGACAGGTCTACTAGTTCATCATAGACAAGCAAGGCGTCTTGCTTGATTGCAAAGCATGAAAAAAAGAAGAGCTAAATGCTTGTCAATTTCTTCTATGTCTCCCTAATAGATGCATAAACAAGAGTGACAGCGTCCACAATGAGCTCTTTCTGTTTATTGAGACTGTTCCTTGTAAGATATAGGAAGCCCGTATGCCTCAATGACATCGTTTAGAGATTTCTAGGTCCAAGTGGCTTCAAAGTAGACTGGATAAAGAAGCCAAGATAAAAATATCCAAAGTTATTGCAGCAATGGAAACCATACTATAATTGTCTATCATATCACTGAAAATGGAGTTTAGCAGTCACAGATTGATAAGAAATTGTCAAGCAAAATGAGGAAACCTATGGTCATAATCACACCAAAACAAATCAGACATGATCAATTTCATATTATTTAAACAAAAAAAATAACAATTATCTGCAATTTTTTCAGAATAGTTTAAAATATTACATGAACTTCTAAACATTCAGAACCAGATAATAGTTGGGTAAGCAGGGGACAGAACTAACGGGGGGATTCTTATGACTTGAAATGAAATGAAGAAAAACTAATAAAGTCTGAATAGAGATAAGAAGTGTGCAAGAAAGGAAGCAAGGTACTTACGATACATTGCCCAAGAATGTGTTGAAACTTGAGCCATTTAATGCACTATGATACAAAAGTTTCCATTCCTCTAGCTCTTCTTGAGATAGAGCTCCTCCTATATGCCAAGCATATTCATCTCTTAGTAAGAATATACTAGAATCAATATTCTCCAAATGCTGCAATTTAGGAACCTGAGATCCCAGTCTCCCTACACAAGAAAGTATCGATTAAAACTGGACCTCTGATATTAATTTTATCTCTATCATAGGAGACTGGAAAGGATTCGGCGTAACAACTGCCTGGCCATGTCTATAATTAATCTACAACTCAGCTTAATCTAAGTTAAGCCTTAATAATTAAGCATAATATAAAGACAAATAAAGTTTTCCCAATGAATCAGGCTTATCAAAGTTAAGCTGGGTGCAATAAAATCAGATCATCAAATTGAAATTAAGAGGGCTGCATATTTTTGCTAAGTTCAGGGAATGCACAGCTAGACAAGGATGCAAATTCAAAACTATACACATAAAACAGCATGCCTTGCAGTATATGTCTCAGCTATTCCAATTCCAGTGATCAATGTTGAACCTAATTTTGATGGTTTTGAGCTACCTGCGCTCATATGTAGACCATTGTCATCAAGAGCCATTCCAATTACAAACTTTTATTAAAATAGAATACATATGTCATTAGATGGGCAAAAATGCTTTAAAAGCCGTTTCTTCTGAACATGAAACTTTAAGTTAAGCACCTTGTCTGTACTGCAATTGTTTGCATTAAACATAAAGTAGCTTTTCATACTTGTATGACATAATGTCTCCATTGATGATACCAGAATGTTAAAGATTACAGAATAAAAGGGCATAGATAAGTGAAGAAGCATAGAGAACCTGGGTCTGGTGGCACAAATAGGCTCGCAAGGAACTTCTTCACAGATGGTACAAGAGAACACCAGCTTTTGAAATCCTCAAAAGACATACTTTTATCATTACATCCCTCATGATCCTTTGAGAAAGTTGCAGCATTCAGAAATTCGTCTACCATGTAGCAATTCGATCTTGATCCTGATCCAGAACCTTTCAGGTGGAATATATGATCAAACATTGTGATTAGAACAGATTCTAGATCAGACCTGTCATTGAGAAGAAGCCACTTAAATTAGAAGGTCTCTAACATGACAGAGCAGCTAGAAATTCAATTAGATGGTAAAAGTACTTATAACATGAAATAAAAAATGTTCCTTCATTAGGGTTCATGTGTTGGGAAATAAATGTTAACAAAACCAATTTTAATGGCTAGGAAAAAGTGAGTTGGTGAAGTAAAGAAAATATTACAAGTGATCATAATTCTACCTTGTCAAAATTTCATCATTTGTAACATCCAACAATCGATAAATAAACTCCTCAATCTCATCATTTGTCCCTTTCTCATAAGTCCCCTACAAAAAAGGAAACATATAACCGATAGCTTCTGCGAGCTCAATACAGAACAGCCATTAACATAGGATCCCCTCAGTTGTTGCTTTGTTCCTCGCCTTTTGATATTAGTTATTTCCTTCTTCAAAAGTTACTAAAATGCAAAATCTTAGTATTTGATTTGAAAATGAACAAATAGTCAAAATGTAACGCACAGAAAATATGGTAACCATTCCATATTGAAGCAAAACCATGCGTGTTGTCATTCACAAAATGTTAAAATTTTAATCTTTAATTATTCAACAACAGTTACGCACGTTTAGCTTTTCACTTGGGGAAGTAAAACCTAAGTAACAAAAGCAACAATCAGATGAAGTTATAACCAACTACACTCGTTCTAAGCATTTGTATGAACCGCTGATAACTAACAACAAAAATGCCGGATATAATAAAAGAATCTAAAAAAGGAGGAATTACTTTAGTGATCACGAGGTCTTCGAACGTAAGCTTATCGTCCTTCCTTCCCTGTGTGGCCAAATCAAACATTCTGTCTCCGAGAGGACCTTTTAATCCAAAGCAAACCTACACCCATAGTAACACTTCTTGTTTAAAAAAAACAAAAAGAATCAATGGAAATCAAAACAAACATTCATAAACAAAAATGGGGTAGATCAGCAAAAGGAACAAAACCTGAAAGACAGAAGAAGATATATATTGACCATTGCTCTGTGACTGGGCAGCCAGGGAAGCGAACAGTGATTTGAGATCCTCCAGTTCCTTTGGTGTAAAAGATCTTAAACACAATTATTTTCATTAGTTCGATTATACCCACCATATAATAAGTAGTTTTTAATCAAAAATAAATAAAGGAGAGAAGACAAAAAAAGAAACCTGGAAGCTGAAGTGAAACGAGGATTTGCAGGAGGTGACTGGCTGTTTCCCATTGTTCTTTTCTTGCTCTGCTTTACTTTGATAAATTTTCCGGGTAATGTTCGTTTCTTCCGTTTTCCTTTCCCTCTATTTACTTATATTTAATGGGCCGAGGTCCAGTACAATATGCCATGTCCAAGTCCAAACTGATCGAATTTTTGTTGGATTACAAACCAGCCCAAATTGCCATGATTGATATTGAAGAAGACATTTATGCTTATTTGTTTCTATTAATGTTTTCTTAACCAAAATATCCTCCGAGAGACAGCATTGAATCACTGTTACCTAGTGAAAATTTAGGGCTTAATTATTTTTATTTTTTCAAAAAGTGTAATGTATAATGACATTTAATCTCAAATGAAGGGCAATGTAATTTGCTATATTGAATTCACGATTAAATATCATTTTCAAGAAAATATTTAATAATTTTTTTCCAAGAGATGAAGTACCATTTTCCTTTCCTCAATACATATTTTTCAATGTTTCACATCATATAATTAAATATTTTTATTAAATCAAAATATCCATATTTTAATAAACAATTTAGTGATTTTTCTTTTTCTAAAAACACGTATATATAACCATTAATGTCAACACTGCCAACTTTGGGATCAATCTTGCCTTCATTTTTAGCCTGAAATTCAATTTTTTGTGAAAGAGGGATCAATCCCTCGAAGGGTGGGATCATAGCAAAAAAGGAAGGCAACATGGAATCACAATAAGGAATAAAGCTCAAGTGTTACGAAGTCAGAAAATATAAATGAAGAGAGTTCAGAGTTCAAGCTCAATCAACAAAGGAAAGATCAATTTAGAGCATATGAAAAATATAACTCTCACTTTTTATTTCAAAAAAATAATAACCTAAAAACCTTTGAACAGCTCTCCTTAAGAAATCATAAGCCAAAAGTGAAGAGAATAGCATTCAAGTGGATGTGCAACATAGTCACCCAAACTTATATGTTCAAGAGTTATTTATAATCATTACCAAAGCATTATCAAGAAAACACAAAGACTATTGTAAGGAATAATTTGGCGTTCTCCATTTTTGCAACTATTCAAGAAAATATCAATTCAAAGAGCGATTTCCAATAAAAAAATATACACAAAGATCATACATCCATTCTCAACCATATTGTCATGAAATATGAAAGACATCGAAGCCACTGTTATTTAAAAAAATAAGTCGGAGAAAAACAAATGTAGTTTATCCCTTCGCAGAGCACCGCTTTATGATGGAAAGTGGAGTGGAGAGGAGGAAGGAAATTGTTGACGTAGAAAACATTCCATTGCTTCTTGTCATCATATCTCATCTTGTCTTGCCCTTATCTCATGTTGTTATGTTCTAAGTTGAGAAAGTGAGGTTTGGATTTCAATAATTCTTTATTGCCCTTATCTCAAAGCAATAAATAACGAAAGTATATCCAAAAATATAATCTATGGTGTGCTTAAGCCATACAAGATCGATTAATATGATTGAGATGTAAGAAGTAATAAAGTAGTATGTCATAACTATCGTAGACTCCCCACAAGGCAATAGTGTAATGAATGGAGAATAAATGGTGATAATATTATAATGCGAGTGTTTGGAGAAATTGATTAAGAAAGATAAAATTTAATTACGTTAATGATGATCAAAAGGTTATAAGTCATAATGATAACATTATATTTTGAGACATGAAAAATTAGAATTAATGGAAAGAATTTGATGGTGAATGAAAGAATTACGATTAAAGCTAAAGATTGGCGTGTGAATTGCCTTTTTACATGATGTAAATTTCATTGGCTTAAAAATGATGTTGAAGTGTGCGTCGCATAGAAGCAAGACAAACATGAAGTATGTGGGGATAATTGAAGGCCTTAACCCTTCCCTAATGTTGAGAACATGTACAGGAATGAATATGTTGTATTTATAACGCTATAAGTTATGTAATAATGTATGGAGTAAGATGAATGAATGTCGAGAAGTTTGATAAGAAACGAAGCAATAAGATAGTGATTAGGTATATATAAGCAAGAATGATATGTGATCGATACGGGTATGATTGAGGTTGAATTGTGTTTAATGATAATAATAGAGTTAAAGGTGTGCTCAGAATCTCAATGATAAAGAGAGCATAATTGTGAGAGATACTGTTGTTTTGATTCTGAAGATGACAATAGACCTAAGTAAATTATTCTAGTCAAACTGAAGGTGAATAAAGTGGATAAATTAAAATCCCTACGAAAGAGAAAATGAAATAAGATCATAAAGTGAGATTAATAGCTCGACGCTGACGTGAATTCAAGGACAAATTCTATTTAAGTGGGAGAGACTGTAACACCCCATACCCTCGTATAAGAGTCAATATGATCTCATCGATGAGACAGAGGGTTGATAGACGTAAATTTAAGTGTGAAAGAGCGGTGATATGTGAAAAAAATTTTAAAATAAAATATTTCGTACGTGAGGACATGATAATTAAATAATAATAGTTTACCGATGATGAATTAGCTAGATAAAAAGGCAATTCTGAAGTGAACCGGAACAAAGTAAGACATTTTGGTTCCCAAAGAGACAAGTTGAAAATTTTGAAATAAAATAATATTTTATTATTAAAATAATATTAAAATATTAATATTTTATCTATGATCGAAGTTAGTCGTGAAGAAGAAGTATATGACTAATCTAAGTAGAGGAGAATAAATAAGAATGAATTTTGAAGATAAATAACGTTAGTGGGCCTGCGTGCCTTTATTAAATAGAGCACAAGTAGGTAAGTATTATTTAAATATTATGGTGACACCTTGATGGGATACAAATCTTATAATATATTTGTACACATGTAAAGGAGAAACTAGAAGGAAATTGAAAATTAAGAAGTGTTGGAAGGACCGAATTATAAAGTATGAAAGTTCGGAGGGTACACGGTAAAAAAAAAAAGTTTGAGGATTTAAGTGTAATTTATAATATTTAAAGTTAAATGGATATTGACTAATCAAGGAAGTTAAGTTATGTGAAATATGAAATGTACATGTGAAAGTTACTATTACATGCAAACTATAATGTGCATAAAAGGATAACTTAACGGAGAACGTGTGGGACCTCACCATGTGAAAGAAAAATGGAAAGATAAAGTTAAAGATTATTTGCATGTAATTTAATTGATACTTTGGTGGTCAAATGAGAAAAGTAAAATGTGGGTTGCATAAGACTTGATTGGTTGGATAAATGGCCAAATAAAATATAAAAGAAAGTTGTGCATGAAATGTAATTGGAAGAATGGGTGGCAAAGGAAATAAAAATAAAATAAGAAAATGAAGTGGCAGATGGAAGGTAATTAAGATAGATTTTGGACTAATGAGCAAAAGAGATAATGTGTGCATGAAATGTGAGTGGAGAGTGAGTTAGCCTAATGAGATAAGGAACAAATAAAGGAATGAAAAGGAAAAAGAATAGAATAAAGAAACCAAGAAAATAAAAGTGAAAAGATATAGAAAACGAATGTGATGGGTGGAAAAGTTACTAAGGCTTTTTGCCTTGTACTTTTACCTCAACAGGAGAAGAAGAAACATGCCACCAAGACATGCAACCTTGGCAATCCGCCCATGAGAGAGAATAAAGAGAAAAGGAAGGAAAATATGGTAAAGGCAAGTGATCTGGGCAATCCGCCAAGTAAGCACAAAATGGAGAAAACTAAAGGCATTTTCAAGGCTCGGCCTTGGAGATCTATCCACTACAAGGGGAAAAGAGAAAGGAGAGGAAAGGAAGAAAGAAAGGGAAGAGAGAAAGAAAGGGGGAAAGAAAGAAAGAAGAAGAAGAAAAAAGAAGGAAAGATCGGTTTGGTGAACCCGAGACAAGTAAGGTAAGGAGATTTCCATTTTTCTTGAAATACATGCTTAGTAAATTAATTGTAATGTGTGATTTTGTTTGTGATAAGAAGATCTACGAGGATTCAAGGAACTCGAGGCATGCATGTAGGTAGATTTTGGAATGCATGGTAATTTTGAGCTAAACAAGCAATGGCTAAGCGTTTTAGTCTTGAAATTTCAAGTGAACAAGGAAAAGTATGTATATTTGATTGCATATGTTCGTGGCAGCAATGGTGACTATGAATGTGAGGAAATGGTGAACTATATGTGTGGAACTCAAGCTAAAATCAAAAGGTAAGCATGCAATGTGGTTGCATGGTGTTGTGTTGGCATTGGTTATTTGATAGACTTTGGATTGTATGTTAAATGATTGTAAGTAAGGGTTAATGAAAACTATGAGATTAGGTTATGGAATTATTTATTGATGTGCTGTCATGCATGTGAATAAATTAAGTGTATTGAGTTTATATGGTTGATAGGAAGTGTTAAGTAAAGAAAGTGTGTTGTGGTGGCGTGCCGGAGGAGGTAACAGGAACTGATGAGTGGAATTAGCTAGATACGCGCCCGAATCAATAGCGATGTAGCGTCTCGCTATTGTAAGATAAGTAGGGGGTGTCGATTTTAAAATCTTCGTATTATATATTGATTTATGTTAATAAACATAATTGGTTTTCTTAAGAGCATTTGTGGATAGCATGAACTGTTAGCCTTGATAGGCAATTTTGAATGGATTTACAATGACTTATATATTGGTTTTGTAGAAAACATAAGTTGGTAGAAACTATAGAAAGTTTGTAAGTACAAGTGTTTTAAAGTGATTTGGATATACCTATAGATAAGCTATACGCGTAAAGAATTTTAGATATCGAGAAAAAAGCCTTTCACAATGTTTGTATCAAAATTTGTGCCTTATATTCTTTTGTTTGATATGCATAGCTAATGCATTTGTTAAACGATTTTAAATGTAAGTTTTGAGCTTCGTTTTTAGCCCAATTTGTATATAAATATTTACACCATGCCATTAGTTTGAAAAGTAATTTCAAAGGGGTTATCAAACCTTGATTTGAAAGGATTTAAAAGGAAAAGCCTTGTAAAACTTGATTTGGTTTTGAAAACGGTTTTGACAAACTGAGAATGTAGAAAGTAGGCCGGCTATTACTTTGGTTAAGTGTGACCCTTATGCATAAGTGAGCTCTAGCTAAAGAACCTTTGGG